TCTTCCCTTGTTCACCAATGCTGTAACCCCACTGAGGATTGAACAGTGTCCCTGATATGACAGGCAGTTACGGGGAATCACAGGAACACCAGGGATTAATTGCTGAATCAAAGATCCGTGGTTGAATTCTCCACGCTTAGGAGTGGAGACATCATTTTGCCCTGTTGAGTTGAGGACCCTTCTCCTCCCTGCCCAGCCAGCCTAGCTGCTAAGTAGACAGAACAGGAGCCCTTTGCAGCCCTCACTCCTCGCAGGCTGTTCCTGATCTTCCTCCTCCTCCTCTGGGCACGGGGCCAACAGGGGACAATATATTTCCTCCTTGCCCTGCTACAGCAAGACCTGTGACCATCTGATTGATGAAAGTATTTTTATGGTCTCCTTGCTAGGGGTTGGTCTCCTTGCTAGGGGTATCTGGGCATGTCACAGTCTTTAATGTACGTATACATAAAGCAGCGGTGTGAGGTAGGGAAATGACGTTATCCCTCTTTTACTGATGAAGACCTCAAACTAATGACTTGCTGGAGATCCCAGAGGAAGAGTGTTGCAGAGTGTGGATTCCCATGCATATCTAGTCTAGTACTGTAAGCATTGAACCATCCTTTCCATCTTTCACTTTAGCCTAAGGTGGGGGTTACTAGTGCTTTTTTAACAAAAGGAAGGAAATGTAGCCTTTCAGACAATATATATTTACTGTGAATGTCAGATCATCTGCTGGTAAAATGAAATAAAAATGGATGAGAAAGATGAATAAAACATATTTTAATGGCAAATCTTTTAGATCAGCATTTCCTGTATACAAATGGTGTAATATTTATCCCAGGTGCTCATATGTGGTGTTGTATTTATAAAAATAATTGGAAAAGCATGTTCTGTGAGTAAGGGTAATAGACATGCAGGCAGTAGGTCCTTCAGGGTATAAGTAGTCTTAGGGGAGGTATATGTATATTACACACAATCAGTAGAACAGTTTCCATAGGAAAAAGTCTTTTGAATAAGAAGCAAGTTAACCGCTTATCCGATGATGGCTGTTTTTCAAAGTGTAATATGTTGGCATGTATTTTTCTGTTTGATTTGTATTCCTGTTGAGCCAGACCACAATTTCTGAGCAGTGCCTTCAAGGTTTGTGGACTATTTTGTCGCACAGGGAGAAAAGAAACTATTTCTCCATCTCTGGAGAGAAACCAGCTCAGTTTATCAGGGCATCTTGTTTACTGAGATTCCTCCTGAGCAGATACTTTAATAGGCCCAATTTCAATCTACAGAAATAGTTTACAGCTGAGTTTTGAGTCCTGTAAGAAAAGTTTTTTTAATGAAAAATGACCCAGATATGTTTTTCTATACATCCATTAGCCTTTTTTGATTGAGCTGTAGGAGTACCAAGCAACATCCATCCCTCAAGCATGTTGTATTACAATCATAGATCTCACTTTGTCTCCGTTTCATTACATCCTACAGGTAGGGACTTCAAAATAGCCAGCTGCCCAGAGCAGGGGCTAATTTTTGCTCTGCTGGCTCCTTCTACACGTGTATCCCTCTACACCCCTCATGCCATGCAGAGTAAGTAGGTAGCTTGTCATGTGCTTAGCATCTCTGTGTCCACCCCATCCAAGCGATTGCAGACCGGTGGAGTGGTGTGGTTTACACCCCGACTGGCCAGTGTGACTTGCTTGAGGTTACAGCCCCATTCAAATTCAGCTGGTCAAGAGCCTGAGGTCTGGAAAGGAGAAGAAAATCCAAAGATTATTGGAACTCGAGATTTTACCCCTTATTTTTCTCCAGGTAGTTTTGTGAACCTCCAAGGACAGTAAAATGCTGATAATGACACGGCAGCACAGTCTGCTCCTGTAGCTTAACAGTGTCCCGGTTACCTTTAAGCCACATAAGAAAGCCTGGCACAGAAGACTTTGAGCACCAGTTCAGACACATGCCAAGGGCTGTCTCTAGTTAAAACAGTTGTTAATGACCAGTCATGCCAGAAACGGCCAAAAATGGCCAAAGACATATGGACGCAATGCAGCATCCTCACATCTGCATTAGCCATGCCAGTTTAGCAGGCTACCAAAGCTCGGGGGGGTTCTTGCATTGACAGCTATGGCAACTCTGCTCTGCTGGGGGAGAGCAGGAGGGTTGTGTTACGGATAAACTACTGAGAGTACAATGTGTGCTGCAGGGAAGGATGAAAAAGGACACAGCGCCTGAACTATTCAGGGGGATAAATAATGGGACAGAACTGTCTTGAGAGGGGTTTTGCAGAAATAAATACTTCCTAGAGCATGACATAAAGGTAAAATAATTGCAAGAGCTTTCAGAGAGCTTGAGTCCAACTAATGTGTCATAAGAAATTATTTCCAGCCTTGTCAGCCATTTTAAACTTATCTGCCATCTGTTAAAGAAACCTAAAATCTTTGGGTAAACTGCTAATCAGGAAAGCAGCACTTCATGCCTGTTCCCTCACTCTGAGCTTTGCCTGTCCCAGCAGCCTGGGACAGATTTTCCCTTTATGAGGAATTCAGATGGGTGAGAGGCAGGAGGGAGGGTGAGAAATCCTAACAATCCCTCTAAACCCATGAACCCAGCATAAATATCAGGAAAGGAAGAAAAGTAGGAGCCATCCCATGTTATCTATGAGGTCTACATAGGACAGGTAGTATAGCATCCTTGGAAAACAACTGACTTTTGGTCAACCAGAATCTTACTGTTGTACTTAGAGAAACTGAACTTATGACACTTAGGGACAAATCCACACCTCGCTGAGATGCTCCAAAAGATTACAGAGGTACAGGATGTATGCATGAGCAGAGCACCTAACATCCCCAGCTGAAAGCAGTGGCCATTGACTTTGCCACAAGTCTCTCCCAAACACTCAGAGGTGACCCCTTGCCCTGACTGTCCATTTGGTAGCAGCAACCACCAGGAGCAGAATTACAGCACACGGGTGGGACTTGCTCAGAGAGACATGACTGCTCGGCAGCAGAGCCAAGAGCAGAACATGGGTCTTCCAGTCCATGGTCTGTTCAGTGAGACATACCGTTATCCTTGTCCTCTCCGGTGTTCTGCGTATGTATTTCTCTATTTTTTCTATATTTTCATTTTGCCTGCAGTAACAGGCTTTGGGTAAATTCTAAGTGGGCTGATACTTATCACCTTATGGTTTTTTGCTGATGACAAAGGCACAGCTTTTTGCTATTTTAGTGTCATGTAGGATATCAGCTCTAACTCTGTGTAGGGAATGTCTAGAAGTTCCCTGTGTTTCCAGATTCTCCGTGAGAGCGTATTACGAGATGGATGAGTGCTTGAAGCACTTTGATTTCTGTTTTCCTCCCGCAGATTGTCGATGGCAAACTGTGGTTCCAGTTGGACTGTGGAAGTGGCCCAGGAATCCTGGGAATTTCTGGCAGGGCCGTCAATGATGGAAGCTGGCATTCAGTCTTCCTGGAGCTGAATCGCAATTTCACGAGCTTGTCCCTGGACGACAGCTATGTGGAGCGCCGCAAAGCCCCCCTCTATTTCCAGACTCTCAGCACAGATAGCTCCGTCTACTTTGGCGCCCAGGTCCAAGTGGATAACGTCCGCAGCCTGACCGACAAGAGAACGACGCAGGTCTTGAGTGGCTTTCAGGGCTGCCTGGATTCAGTCGTCCTAAATAACAACGAACTGCCGCTCCAGAACAAGCGCAGCAGCTTTGCAGAAGTGGTTGGCCTGACCGAATTAAAGCTTGGCTGCGTTCTCTACCCCGATGCCTGCGAGAGGCATCCCTGCCAGAACGGCGGGACCTGTACCAGCGTGCCATCTGGTGGTAAATATTTTGCATTACTTTATGGGTTCCCCCCGCCCTCCCCTTCCATTTTCCTCTACAATTTATTGCCAGAGATGGTTTTATGCAGCAACATGCTTGAAAAGTCTCATGAACTCTATAAAACTCTGATAGGTATTGCAAATTGTGTAAAAGCTGTTTGCTCTATAAATAAAGGTGAAATGGTGCCCCTTCTCATTGCATTAGTGTTCCAGGAGGAAATTGATTTATTGGCTGTTAGGATAATCCTATTTCTATAGAAACCAATAGAATTACAATTACTGTAATGCTCAGCTGGATTTTTCAGGATCCATTTACAGCATCGAAGGCTGTACACAAAGATGGTGATTTCAAACGTCCATCACAGATGCAACGGCACTGTTGCCTTTCTCTGTTTCTGAAGCTGTCACAAATAATTACTGAGCTGTCCACAAACACCTTGGTCCTTTTGTGAGTGAGTAATTTGATTACATGTCTGCATGGAAAATAGCGAGTCCGCCCCATTATAAACCCCCCCCCTAGAACTGTATTTTACAGCTTCCTCAGAGGCCTGAGTGCTTCAAGGTCTAAGTAATATTGTCCAAAGTTTATAGGGTATTGATTTAAACCGTGCTCATGTTGGAGTTTCCTATCCAGCGGTCATATGGTGGCTTGTGTGATTCGGTGCCTGTGACTTACTACCCAGTAATGTGGTGCACAAGTTACCAGACCATACAAACAGTCGGCATCTTAGCAGGAAAAAAGTAAACGGCTTACATGTAGGACCTTTCCTCTGGGGCTGTTCTTTCTCTGTAGTGTACAAGTTTCCCATCCAGTTCCCCATATTGTATTAGCAGGCAGCACTGCTCACCTTTTCCGGCAGACTAAAACTTCTTCTGAAAATGAGGATGCTCAGCAGAGAGGTCTTCTGCAGAGATTTCCATCCACTTATTGTCAGTGGGTTTGGTCGTGGTTCCTTAGGGCAGTTCCCATTAAACTTTTTTTATGGAGCATTTAACCACTGTCCAGGGCTTTCTGCTTTAACGTGTCCATGCTGTTCCCTTGAACCCGTAATTGTTATTTCTGGTTTTCATTGTTTTAAGCCTTGTTCTCTTATTTCCTTTCTGATCACCCTCCCCCAAGCAGATTTTTCTAAACTTTGGGAACTTCCTAAACTATAGAACAGTTTACTTTTCAAGGCTGAAATCTTGTGAGATCTGAGCAAAACTGACTGTCGGCCAGAAGGTTTTCATTTGGATAACCCTGCCCTTATAGAGTAAGCCCTGACAATGTGAATTTCCTGATGGCAAGGTATCTCAGCTAGCGTCTCCTCTGGATCCTTGGCTTTGATTCAGCCACCTCTGCGCCCGCGCCGGGGCAAAGGGTGCATCAGGGCTGCCGCTGTTGGTGGAAGGAGGTGGGAGGAATGAAGCGCAGCACTGGTGAGCCAGGATGTGATGTGCAGCACAAGGACAAATTGTGCTGCTTGTGTATGTTGTTAAGTGTCTTTATTTACCAAAGGAAGGAAAGAAAAGGAGTGCTGCACAGCAAGGGCTAAAGGAAATCATTCCGAGGCAGATGGATGCTGCAGCCACTGAGAAAGATTATTTAAATCCCTAGGAAATACGGCTGTAATATGTACATGGACATAACATGGCTTTGATTCAGAGTCCATACTTAATAAATGGGGTTAACCATTCACCAAGCTAGCATCCTAGGAAGCATGAGAACAGCTCCTTCTATTGATTTTACTTGAGTCTATTTACAGTATTGCTCAGCAATCTCGTGATGAGTAAATTGAAACCTTTCTAACGAAACGCTTTACAGTAATTCTTTTTTTCCCAGCGCCATGTGCATGCCAATTCAAACTGAGGGGAGACATGGCGTGGGGGAGAAACAGGCAGTGTTGAAGATTGGACCCATTCTATTACTGGAGTGGCACACACAGTTTTCATGTCAACATAATTCGCCGCTGGAAAGCAGTCACAGAACTGATTTAAGTTGACTGCGTTCTTGCCTCGGTGAGGGGGCACGTGCCCTGCAGGGATGTTTCGGCTGCCTGCCGTTAAAAAATCTGTTTGCTGTTTTTACTGCCTCAGCAGTGTATGTAAATAAAGGATTGTTATAAAGCCATAACTCCAGCCCAACGGGCCCTGACTGTATGTCAGTGGTTCTGCAGCCCAGCCCACGAGGAGAAGGCATGGGCATTTTTGTTTCCACCAGGCAAAGTGATTCTGTTGTGGGCATCCTCCATATGCAGAAAGGCCACGTAATTAAATTCCACAGAGCGGAGAGCCCAACAGCATTGCACATGCTAGTCGTGGAGCCACAAATTGCAGCGTGCATTTAAGAATCATCAACCATTCTATTCACTGACATAGATGTTAGCAGCTGACTTTCATTTCAAATAGAAAAAAAAAGTAGTAACTTCATTTTTTATCTTAAGAAAGAAAATGGCTTTTTTCTTTTATGGTGGGGGGAAGCATTCAAAAATACACCATGCAAAGGTCCTTTTCCCAGTCCCAGGGCTTTCAGTAGCATCAGGATCTCTTGACTAACATTTTCTATGATATTATCCTCCTATTAAAGTTCCTGGAGATTAATGCTCCTTTTCCTAAACAGAGAGTATTTGGCATAATGATAGGATTTGTTTTAATAAATAAATCCTCTAATTTGAATTTTACAGAGCAGATTTCATATACTGTTAACATCCTTTTTCTTACTAAAACCCTACTGTGCTTTACAAGGAAATTAAGAGAGAGAAAAAGAAAGCTCAGATTTATAGCTAACTTTAAAAGAAAACAGTCAAACAAAGGTTACAAGACATTATAACATGAAAGAATCGCTGGCTACATGCCAGAAATCAAAGGGGCCATGTCTAATTTACATGTAATTTGCATAAATTGATCATCTAAAACAGAAACCTCCATAACAGTATTCCTGTTGTGCGATCTTCGTTTCAATAGAAATGCCTACTGCAGTGTTCACCATTAATAAAAAGCTGCTTCTGATTACCTTCCACTTCATCCTGCAGTTACGGGAATAGGGTAATATGACGGCCCTGCTTTGGGAATTGCTAAACGATGTTGTGTACACACTAGGAGTGCGTCCGTGCTGCTGCTGCGAGGGTTCGTGTGGATAAATTCACAGCGTTTGGCTCAGGGACGCTGCTGTGCAGGGGCTGCACGGAGCGCGGGACCGACGGCAAAGGAGACTTGGCACAGGGCTAGTTGACCCGTGCTGGCTCTTTCTGTCTGACCTCTCTGCATATTGAGCAGGAGGGTAAAATGGGAATCTTAGCCAGCAGGAAAAAGCATAGATAGCTCGGATGCTCTGAGACATCGCTGAGAGTACGGAAAAAACCTCTCTGCTTTCAAAATCTGGTATCTGGGCCAGCAGAAAGCCACCATGACATGAACCTCTGCTTGCACCCGTGTTCCCACGGGTTCGAATCAAGTCCCGCAGCAGCAGTGCGTGCCCAGCGCTGTCGGCAGTTGAAGCTGAGAGAGGGCACTGCGTGCCCAGGGACCCCGCGCGGAGATCCCACGCGTGCTTAAAAAGGGCCGGGAAAGGGGGATGAGTGCTCACGAGGTCTGCCAGCTCAGGAGACTCCTGGCAGAAAGAGATACATACAGCTTTAGGACAATTTTCTTGGAGCCACTGGAAACCACAGCCCTGAAATACAGGCCACATTCTTCCAGACTTTTCAGTCCCTACCCATAAGTACAGGTCAGTAAAGCTATTTTTAAAGAAAGTTGTTAGCATTTTGAGACCTAACAAGCAGCATGACTTTCAGAAACAGCTTGGCTCTTTGGACTGAAATTTCCTAAGAAAATTCAACCAAGTGTTTAAAGTGCGGTTAAGCTATAAGCTGCTGAATATGAGGTCTTAAAATGGGAAATGTGACACAACCTTAATAATAGAGTGGCGTTACCAGGTCTGCCAATAGTAAATGTATGTTTATCTGCATGAATAACATGAGCAATCACAGCAATAGAAAGCTTTACTGTAATCAAATCCGAACACTGCGCCAAGCTTTTCAACCACAGAGAGAAACCTCGTGCTTGTAAAGCCTGCAATTATAAGTATAGTTACTTCCTTTTAATTTGATCAGTCCTATATACATCTGGCTTTGATTGAAGTAAATGACTTATATGAGTAGGCAATTTTATTTGAACATGAAGCATTTGAGCAGAAATATCTACTGAGTCAAGGACTGTGGGCAGAGTGTGAGGACAGAAAGTCATTGTTTTCCCCTCTCCTCATTTTTTCTTCTTTTCTTTTTTCTTTTTTTTTTTTTTTATGAACAGAGTTAAAATCCAAAACAGGGAAAAATGCAACCTGGCACTTAGGTGGTGGTTTTAATACATGTTTTAAAGCATGTTGGCAACGTTAACATGCAGGTGGTTTTGAGGATTAGATAATTCATAAGCATGACATTAGGGAAAAAAGGTGCATTAATACTACAGTCATGAACTGACCTCGTCATACATTTGTTCTTGATCTTGCTTTTTCATACATACAAACAAACCAGCATGATGTAATGTAAGCGTACAAAATGCACATCAATTAATTTTTAAAAGCTTTTTAGAACTTTAGGGGGTTTTAATCTTTTTTATAGCTTTCTTTTAGATATGTGGATTTAAATTCCTAGTTTCAAAGCACATACACGCCAATCCTCTTTTCCAACCAGAACGATTCTATGTTTCTATGATTTTCATACCAACTAGTGGCAAGAGGCAATCATCTGTTTGAAGACAGATAAGTTAAATCTGAAGTAGCAGGACTACGTCTGGCTGAAGAACACACCGTTCGTGAAGGTGGCCTGGTATGTCTGTAAACATACCAAAATACAAATGCTGGCAGAGGTCCTCTTCACCTTCAGTTCTTCTCATCAGTTAACTTGCCATGAAATGCTATGTGAGCAGGGCCCAGGGCAGGCCTGTTTCTGGACATCGAGTTTGTCAGGTCTAGCTGCACAGCAGGGAAAGAAACTACATGGGGAGATCAAATGCAACAGCCAAAGCACGCAACAGATAAAAGCCAGCTCCTCTTGCATGTGATAGATAGAAACAGGAGCATACACATGTTCAAAAAAAGAATTGGCAGCAGTTCGGAGCATCCTCTTTAATAAAGCCAAGTAAACCTGAGGATAGACAGACATTCAGATGCTCAGGCTGGCAATGCTACCAACGGAGACGTTCGCTGCATAATGGCATCCCATCTGCTGGTGGCACCGTGCCTGCCTTTCGCCACTGTCTCTGCTTATTAGGTGCCAGGCAAACATAGGTACAGGCAGGAAGCCTGTGCAGTGTCCTCACATGAAGAGCATGTTGCTCTTCAGTAAGGTCTGGGCTGAAAAATCCCTTTTCCTCTGAACAGGGACATGCCAACAAGGCAGGAAGAGAAGTTGTTGGAGTCAGAGTGAGAAGGTGAGACTCAGCTACATAGAGGGGACTCAGATTAGTAGGGGAGCATGAGAGAAGCTTTATAAAACAACCAGAAAGCCCAGGACTATGTGTAAGCAGGAGAGGGCTATGTCTATATAAAGTTTTAGATCGCAAATGAGCTTTGACGTGAATCATCCTATCATCCTCTCTCACCATGCTTCTGTTCCCACTGTGGAGAGGTGAGGTCTCAGAGGGCAGACCCAGGCTGCCCTCTGGACGGTGAGCTGAAAGACATGCAGCAGGAGTGCAGCTAACGTGATCCTAAAGCCCTGAAATGTGTGCACTGAGGGTGCTGGGTCCTCAGCACCAACCGTGTGCTCCACAGACCCACTGCCGTTGCTCTGCAGGGCTTGCTAACGTAGATACAGCCTAAGAGGGCTACATCATTGCTCTGAGGTCAGCTGTTGGTACAGGCTGTTGTGGCACATGCTGAGGGTGCTGTGGTCCCACAATCCCAGCAGCATTGCAGATGTGTTTACCAGAGCTTTCTATCTTTTTCCACTGGTTCCCTCTGAAAAAATACAGTGGTGACATCACAAAATTTGCTGCCTTGAAGGCAGATCAACATTTTCCAGTATCAGTGTGTAAAATGAAATATTCATATCTCTTGGAGGGAACTTGGATGGACTGTGTGATCTTAAATGTTGATGAATTTCCAAGACTTGCAGTGCCTTCATTGTGAACAGGAGCTTGAAAGGGTTTTTTCATCCCCTGCTGAGAGGACAGGGCACTTTTAGCCTTTTCTTCAGGTCTCTTGTCCTCGGATGTGGGAAGTTTGCGTATTATTCTTGTGCTAAATGAGTGGGAAGAAATGCATGATACATTACCGGAATATTAAATTAAAAGTGTCATAAAAATTGTTTGTTAGACCCAAGATGCACTCCTGACGGTTTATGATTGCACTTTGTCCATGGCCACGTGGCTGCAATGTGCAGTAGCGGGCAAAATTGCAGCCTCTGTTGAGAGGTTTGGAGAAGCATAAAAGGTCTGGCAAGTCTGCTGGCCATGTCCATCTATGCTGTGTACTGAGCCATTGTATCAGCTCTTTGCTTCCCTACTCCATGAATTTTGACATATGCTTTGCTGCGTTGGAGATCTCCCGAGTGAATGCTCTGCAGCTCTGAGCGCGTGTCACGGGAAAGTTCTGCGTCTTTTGCCAGTGGCTCAGAGTTGGCAGGTGCATGGCAGTGCTTCCAACAGGAGGAAGCGTCGGTGATAAAGATTGTAATTTAATACCATCTTGGTTTATTGCCTTTTTTATTTCTAACTTTGATCCCTAGACTTAGAATCTCTGCTGAATACTTCAGTCTTCTAATATCTGACTGTGTTCCACCATCATTAAATCAAATTCAGTCAGAAATGTAGGCTTTCAGAAGCAGACGTTTCATTTTGGTGTTGTTCATACATTGCTCAATAGAGCTGTGACCCATCTGGAGCATTCAGTTTGATCTCCTCTTAGCATCAAATGTCAATTGAAGTTAGTGCATCTTTAATATAAACAATAATAATGATAATGAATAAACGCATGTTCCTTTTATACTTGGTGGTAAAAAGATTTTCTTTTTACCAAGTCAACATTTCTCAAGTTTTCTGCAGTGAATAAATGTAACAGAATATGTTACAGAGTGAGAACCCAGAGTTTAATCAGCTGAAACACACAAGACGTGAGAAGAAAGTGATTCAAAGGCGTGGTCTTACAAATGATTGGCAACTAGTAATTTAGGAACAGAAAGTTGTTTTTTTAAGTCGCTTTAAAGTTATCTAGGTTTAAAATATCAGATAACAAATAGAAGAACATATCTATTCTGCTATTATATATGGCAACAGATTTGTTTATGAATAAAATGTTCTATATTTGAACATCTTCATTTTGCTTAAACTCATTGAGACCATAAAAAATGTATAAAACATTACTGTAAATTTTTGAACTATAGATGTCACTGTTCAGTCATAAAATGAAGCACTGAAACAGCTTTATTTATTCATGCTGTGATTTCTACCTACAGTATTTCTAGACCAGCTACTTTGCCAACTAACAATAAATCTTTCATAGGGATGGCATCAAAATGCAATGCCTGGTGTGGTCACAGTTTCATAATTCTTCAGACCCATATCTCTACAGGTCCAGAAAGTTGTTCACATTGTCTGAGTGAGATATGTATATGACACCAAAAAATAATCCCATTTTTCTGATGCTGACTAAACATGCTTTCTAGGAAGCCCCAAAGTCAAATAATTTCTCTTCTTAACTCTGCAACCTTGAAAACAGCAGTGCTTCTATCATCTCCCTTCTTGTAGCAGGACAACAAAACAGCGTGATATTTGAGGATCTATTTCATTTATCTTCAGTTAAATAGGTTTGGACTCTTGACTGAATACACCAGTAAGTCTGGTTCCAAGTTTGTTCTCTAAAGCCTGTCCTCATTCAATTAGAGTAACTGAACAAGGCGAACTGAACTGGATAGGACATAAAAGATGTGGGAGTCTTAACGCAGCATTGCTTTTGCCTCCTGCCTCCACTAGGCTTTACCTTACGGTTTCCGGGAAATTCTTCTCCTTGTAACTGTGCTGGAAATTCCTGCCTTGTTTCCTGGGACAGTGGCTTTTAAAATACCTTTTTTTCTTTTCTAGATGTATAGATCTAGAACATTTTAAAAATATGTTTCAAAAGCTCACCGCTAAGGGATGATATTTCAGCTACATCAGCTTGATCTCCAATAATTTTGACACCGAATTGAGTCGCATTCAACCATTTCAGCTCAAACTCCAGCAGTATTAATGGCAGGAAGGTTCCTTGTTCCAGTTGCTTAATATGCTATATTCAATAAGTGTGTGAACCCCATAACTGGAGTTTGAACCTTGCCTACACATCTGTTTGGGCATTTGGATTGTGTAAGTATTTTTTTAAAAACTCAGCCATTTTGGACATGTCCAGGAAAATTTTACTGGTTCGACATCTCTAATCTAGGAGTCTTTCCATCCCAGGGACTGCCTTAACCATCTCATGGCTTTCAGAACCTACATGTTCCTTGCTCTTTTCAAATGAAAAAGCACTCAGATTTCAATGTCCAGTTCACAACATGAAGAGACGTACTGCCTCACTGGATTTCTTTGTGACCTTAAGTAAAGTTTTTATTAATGGCATTGTGCCTTATGAAATCAGAAGGAGAGGGGGAAAAAAAAGAGATTTGTCATTTGATACTTGGCAGAATGAACTGATTGGTTTAAGAACTGTTTTTTACTCCGACGTTGCTCCTCTGTTGGCAAGAAATGTGGAAGTGTGACTTTGATCCCCTCCTGGGTCCCCCTCCACTTGAGTGGAGTTATGTCTGATGTATTGCAGCCGGTGATTAATCAATCTCCTAATAGCACACACTGCACATAATCAGCTCTGATTAGGGCTGGCATTGCCCAGTTCAGCTGGTATTATGAAGTATATCGTTCATGCCTGGACAATGCGCTTTATGAGAGTGGTAACTATCACTATCAAGTGTTTTATTACTGTTACATCCCTACACTGCCATCCTTGTGAAGGGCAGATGTGGGAAACCTCTCAGCTCATGTATTTGTTCTTCAGTGAAGCCCCAAAAGGAGTGTGGGCTGCCGCTATCAGCAAATATGGTCTGTATTTTCAAAAATACTGGGAGATGCATCCTTGATCTAGACTATGTCTTGTGACCAAAGTTGTTCATGGACAACATTTATTCTTGTCTGAATCACGATGATCAGGATGGTCTGGGCTGCCACTGTTCCTCTGCTCCCTGACTGGAGACATGAGCTCTAACTGTCCAGACATCCCAGATATAAACAAACTCTCAGCTGGCATTAGTGTGGACCACACAGACATACCAGAATGAGTATAAACATCCCCTTTCCCCCATGGTACATTATATTTTTTGGAGTAAAGTAGCCAAATGGATCCCCTTGCTTCTAGACAGATACCATGGTAGGGTTCTGATTTATTTCTCTGTGTCCGTCACTTCCCAGGCTACCAGTGCAATTGTCTCTCCCAGTTTACGGGAAGGAACTGTGAGTCGGAGATCACAGCCTGCTTCCCAAATCCCTGCCGGAACGGAGGCTCATGCGATCCCATCGGCAACGCTTTCATCTGCAACTGTAAAAACGGCCTGACGGGAGTAACGTAAGTGACCCATCCAGGTGGGCAAAGGGAGCTTTTTAATTCAGTGATGGTGGGTTTTTTGATCAGGCATTTTGTACCCAAAGGTATGATTCACCTAGCAAAAAATAACCCAAAACTTAGTGCTTATTTCAAATCTAAGCTAATGACAGCTGAGAAACCCATGAGCCTTGCGTGTTCAGAAATGCTTTTCTGAACTTGGCCTCCTAAATTATTGTTTCAGGATGTTATCTCCAGACAATTTTCACTGAGATATGCACACCTAAGCGTTAGAGGCTTTTTGAGCAATCCCAAAAAGCCTGTGGAAGCTGCTGTGTAATTTTTTTTTTAAATGGAGCCATTATTTTGTCACCTTAGCCCTGACATAAAAGCCTAATTTATAGCATTCATTTTTTAAAATTCTAGCCTTGATCATATACTTAGTGTAGAAACAGAAAATCCCCTGACCTGCCCATCAACATGCTTTTTTCTCATCTGATTTGTCTACTGTTTGTACTTTGTGTTCTGCCTTTTTTTTATCACCTCTTCTTCTTTCCAATCCTGCTCTCTCTCTAAGGTTCCTGTTCTTTTTTTCCCCCTGCTTCTCTAATATTTGCTCATTTTATCTCCAGCCCTAAATAAATTTACAGTCAGCATATCCTCCTCTTCTCTTAAATAAGCACTCTGATTTTTTTACTGTATTTTTTCTCAACTATTTTCCCCTTGAATCCTCCTAATATTTTGTATTGAATTCCATGGCATGGTCCAAAAACAATACAAAAAGGCTGAGATTCTCTATTACATTCAGTGAGCCTCATTAAGGTCAAGGAGTCTTTTCCTATCAGATGCTTTAAACTCTTATTTCCTTCCTGATGTTTCTATTTTAATGTCTTAAAAAAACATGGAATAGCTGTAGAAAAAATTAAATATCATTAAATGATATGATAATAGTAAGATCCTTTGCCAAGCACCAACAATGTATTAACTGTAATGGTACCACTTTGACAAGATGAGTTATCATGTACAAGCTGCGCTGTTTGCTAGGTGTTCTTCAAACTCCAGACTCTCCTTTTCTTCTTCTAAGGTGTGAAGAAGACATCAACGAGTGTGAAAGAGAAGAATGTGAAAATGGTGGCTCCTGCGTCAACATATTTGGTTCATTTCTGTGTAACTGCACCCCTGGCTATGTGGGGCAATATTGTGGTCTTCGCCCCGTGGTGGTTCCCAATATACAAGCTGGACATTCATACGTTGGCAAGGAAGAGCTGATAGGAATAGCCGTGGTTCTGTTTGTCATATTTGTGTTGATAGTCCTCTTTATCATCTTTCGTAAGAAAGTTTTCAGGAAGAACTATTCCCGCAACAACATCACGCTCGTACAGGATCCGGCTACTGCTGCCCTGCTCAACAAGAGCAACGGCATCCAGTTCAAGAACATCAGGAACAGTGGAGACAGCAGAAATATCTACCAAGAGGTTGGGCCTCCACAGGTCCCAGTGAGGCCGATGGCCTATACCCCGTGCTTCCAGAGTGACTCGAGGAATAACCTGGACAAGATAGTGGATGGGCTTGGCGTGGAGCACCAGGAGATGACAACGTTTCATCCCGAGTCCCCTCGAATACTGACGGCCAGGCGGGGGGTGGTGGTGTGCAGCGTAGCTCCAAACTTGCCCGCTGTGTCTCCTTGTCGCTCCGACTGCGACTCCATCAGGAAGAGCACGTGGGATGCTGGGACAGAAAGTAAGTATGGCTGCTTGCTGCTGTAGCTCTTCCCTGCCTAGGTAAGGGTTGCCTTCTGGGTGCAGTAGGTACAGTGGCACCAACCTCATACACTTGCAATTGTTACATTTCTCCAAGAAGTTATTTGGTTTAATTTTGAAAGGATATCATTAACAGTAGGCATATAAGACCTCTACTTCTATGCGTTAAGTATGACTAAACACATTTGTTTCACTTGTTCAGAAAGCACATAGGAGTAAGTGCTCTGAGCGTTAGTTCTTCATGTGATACAATGCAATCATCTTTCTATTGGAAAAAAATTAATTTGGGGCAGGATTCTCAAATATAAACTGTGGTAGGTTTGGGCAGTTTCTCTCCTGAGGGAATTAAAAACATTTAAACCTTCTGCAGGAAGCAATTCTGTTTTGCAACAGAGACGAATGAACTAATATTCTCTATTTCCAGTGTCTACGAAATGAAGCAGAAAATCACGCACTACTACTTATAGGATCACCTTTTCAGTCCATTGCCTTCCCATCTGCATTCAGTATCAGAGTGATCACAAAATTTCTGATTCCCCACAATTAGCCTATTTGTGCTCTGATGGTTTCTCACCTGATAACACAGTGCCCCCTCCATTCCTGAAGTTGTTGCTGGAGATACCGCAAACTTCATGTATTCTGTCGTAGTAGGAAATACAAGTTTGCTGAGACAGAGTTACGGCACTACGTTGTCTATCCTTGCAAGTCAGAACATGTCATATGGACAAGGAGATGTTTGCTTTAGCATACTGGGGGGATGGGGGGTTTATGATGTTTTCTCTTTTTAGTAGTTTTTCCTAATGCATCTTCAACCCCATTGCAACACAGCTTTAACCAAAACTGTCAAATAAAATGACATGATCAAGAAACTTTCATAGTGCCATAGTTTTAGGCAACAGGAACTGAGGAACAGAGAGAGGAAACTGGCACTACCTCTGCCCTGATCTGCACATTTTCATCTAAGGAAGCACATTGGCTAAGGTCTTCTAGTGAAAAACAGGAATTAATTTTCATTTCTTTGGGCTGTATTTCACAGTTATGTTGTGCTTGACCTTTTTAACCATTAAATATAGTTTTGCTGATTGAAAGCATCAGCATGCCAGCCCCCATACGTGCTCTGTATTCTCCTGGGTGTTTCTGCTGCAAACGCTGCTGGTATCTGTATGAATTTCTGCACAGCATGAGGCCACGCCATGGAGACGGACCTCAGCTGTCAAGGAGTGGGAAGCAGTGCAGCTTCATTACTGCAGCACTCACTCCATCTACTACACACCCTGCTTCTCAGCAGGAGCAAATCAGTCATTACTGTATAGAGGTGCCCCATGCTGGGTAGAAATATCTACAGCTAGCAGGTGGAGAGCTGTTCCTGAGGTGTTGCAGCACCTGAGCTTGTTCATTGGTAATTAGCTCAGGTATCTAGCTCAGTGCTTACTATGGAGTATAACTTTTTGTGTTCCTCATTGTCACTCATATAATGTGTAGCTCAATGTGTTTATTCATGTGTGATTAATTGCATGAGAATTTATACCATAGGCTGCAGTTACATTTCTAAACTGTAGAAGAGTTGTCAAGACTGAATGTCCCTGATGAAAAGCAATGTATATTGAAACATAATCTATTATACATCAGTGGTGGAGCCATTAAAATCTGATCCAAGGGCCACTTATATGAATAGAAAGATGCACAATAACTTTATTGAGCATTGAATGAGCCTTTAATGAGGTGCTCAAATTAGGAAATGAACAGTAAAGAGAAATGTAACTGTAATCTCTTGTATAAGATGTTTATACCACATTTTTAAAGTCATTTTCTTTGCTGCTGAGATTACATGGCATCTAAAAAGGCAATACTGGATACAGATGTTTCTTCCTTGATTACAGTGGTGTCAGCCACTTTAAAGACTCTTTGGGCTTCAAAGACTTCAGAAGTCTAGGTATCTTCATCAGCTGCCTTCTTGAATAATAGGTCATTTCCTCTGTCTGAAGGAAATAACTTGATTCTGACAAAAATAATGGAAGGCTACTTGTTGAAAGGATTTAAATGGCTCTGTGGTGTAAACAGACAAATGTGCATACCTAGAGAGTACCATTTTGCTTTGTTTTTGCTGTCAATGAAGGTAAAGGGGTTGATGACGCTGAAGAAGTGACCTGTTTTGCAGGAAGTAATAAAGGCAGCAACTCTGAAGTACAGTCCCTCAGCTCCTTCCAGTCTGATTCCGGTGATGATAATGGTAAGAACTGGTTTTATCTTTATTATGCTGGAGGCAAAGCTATTTAACTCTCTCTAATATTATTAAAAACATTTAGGTGACGTCTAGAAAACCCTTTAATGATGCTAGAAGTCAGAAAGCCTTGGCTTCAAACCTTCACTTTGTGTCTATGTTGTTAATTAAAGGGATGTAATTAAAATCTTGATGCTTGGAGCTGTTGCATCAGTACCAAGCTTTACAGTGAATTAGAGGTGTGATACAGCAGAGTCACATTGCCAAGATATAAGTTGACTAATAGGTTACAAGTGAAGCTGTAGAACTCTATCATTTTCCCTCTTGGAAGAGGATGACATTCATGTTTCATCAGTCAAACTGAAGGGAATTTGTGTGCCGTTTGCCAGGTCTCATTCATGGTCCCAGCAAAACCCTGCTGGTGCTCAGCAGCAGCAATGAGTGGATGAGCCAGTCCCTGATGGCTTGGCCTCTCCCTGGCAATCACAGCTCAGCGAACAATAGAGCACCATTAAATCTTTGCTCGGTACATGTTCATTGCCCGCTCTCACGTCCTACATCATTATCTCAGTGGGTGACATGGGCAGAGCCATACACAGCCTGAAAGAGGCCTACAAAGTCAGAGCCAACCTTTGTTCCTACAGCCCATGTATGTTGAGCGGTGGGTCTGAGAAAAGGCAAGATGTTTCTGCCAGGGAGGGATGATGGATGTCAGGGAAGCCTCATTCAGATACACAGAAAAAGATTAGGACAAAGAAATTGCACTTAGTTTCCTCAGCCACCAGTTAATGAACTGTCTAGAGACTCAGTTCCTCAGTCATGTCATGCAGCTCTTCCCTAGGTACTCCTAAATGTTGGAAAAAGCACTTAAAGAGAAGTGCAGTTGCAGTTCCTTTTGGTTCAGCTGTGGCTGAAGCATCATGAGTATTTTTGTCAAGCTTCTCAGTGCTTTTCTGCCCTTGCACCCCAAAAAACCCTTCAGTGTTTTTAAGAATAATTATTAGAATTACTATTATTTTAATAATATAT